GTTAGATTATTCTTCTACATATTTTTAACCTGAGACCTCAAAAAATAGTTTTGACTTCTACAATATCTCTTTAAATGAACTGCTTTGTATTTGTTATGTACCGGTAAACAAATATGGACTGTCAATATTGCTGTTTTGCACATTTTGGCATGCTTTTAAAAGGGTTTAACTCTTCTGAGGATTTTGTAAGGTTATACGTTGCCTTTGGAAACCCTTTTGGACGTTGGCTTAGTGGCGCATACCCGGAGGGAAATAAAACATGTTGACTGCGCTACACGTAAGCCTGGATTTCTCGTCGGTCTTCCTGAATAACGTGATCCCGACCAAGTACCCTACCGAAGAGTGCAGTAAACACACACTGGAGCTCTGCTCTCGCTTCTTGCCTGTGTGTCCTAGTTTGGTTTTTAAAAGTTATAACCGTGCCGCCCCCCACAGCACCCCCTACATGCGAAAATATCTCCGGAATGTGTAAACACCCATTGCCTGACAGTGTGCTTTTAATGGACAATTAAACTCATTGCTTCATCAAAAAATTGTGTTTTTTTACAACTGTACCCCCCATCCCTAATTTAAAATGTAATGTGATACACGGCTCTTTTGTGAGGCACATGGCTGGGTTAATGGGTTGGTGAAGGGGGGGCTACCCAACACCGCTACAGATGTCACACCGTGACTAAAGTTAGCCACGGCTGGGAATCGAACCCCCGTTGCTGGGTTCTTAACACGGGCATGCAAACCCCACTGCGCTTCGGTTCCCCCCACCTCAACCCTCTCATAATGTATCTCGCTGAAACGTGAAATCTTAATTCAAAATGTACACGTGGTTATATTTGCTTAATGTGCTCTTTCGTCGTGTAACCTTACAGCTGTGTAAGCAGTTGCCGAGTCACCCTTGCAAAAGAGCTTCTTGGCTCAGGGGGGCTTTACTTTGTTCGAAGAAGTCACCCTCTGCTTCTGTTTGACCGTGCTATGCTGGTGAGTCGGATCTCAACTGAAAACGGACCCTCACCTGGTTTAAATAAAGGATCTGTCTACGTGGTCCTAGCCAGCAGGGGCCCTAAACAGTTGTGATGTGAATGATAACGCTGCCTTGTCCTCTTCAGTGTAGAGATGTAGTCCAGTAATCCGTTAAGAGCAAAGGTTAAAAGCACTTGGGCCCCCATCAAAATTAATCCATCAGCTTTGGTCTATGCAGGGCTGGATGAAGGTTTCCCCCCAAACCGTTGTTCCCTTAAGGCTTAAGCCATGCGGTGTAGTAATGCACCGCGCTGCGACACGCAAGCTGATGTCGTCGCTGCAATTCTGCGGAGGACATCCTCGCGGGAGTGTTTTTTTTCCTTTCTCTTGGCTGCCACTCCATCATTAGTCTCGACCACCACAGTTTTGTGACACGTCCTGCCCAAGCCACATTCGCCTTAATATGTCTAACATGGGGTCTACAGTGAGGGAAAAAAGTATTTAATCCCCTGCTGATTTTGTACTTTTGCCCACTGACAAAGAAATGATCAGTCTATAATTGTAATGGTAAGTTTATTTGAACAGTGAGAGACAGAATAACAACAAAAAAATCCAGAAAAACGCATGTCAGAAATGTTATAAATTGATTTGCATTTTAATGAGGGAAATAAGTATTTGACCCCCTCTCAATCAGATTTCTGGCTCCCAGGTGTCTTTTGTACAGGTAACGAGCTGAGATTAGGAGCACACTCTTACTAATCTCAGCTCGTTACCTGTATAAAAGGGACCTGTCCGCTGAAGCAATCAATCAAATTCCAAACTCTCCACCATGTTCAAGACGAAAGAGCTCTCCAAGGATGTCAGGGACAAGATTGTAGACATACACAAGGCTGGAATGGGCTACAATACCATTGCCAACCAGCGTGGTGAGAAGGTGACAACAGTTGGTGCGATTATTCGCAAATGGAAGAAACAGAATTGTCAATCTCCCTCGGCCTGGGGCTCCATGCAAGATCTCACCTCGTGGAGCTGCAATGATCATGAGAACGGTGAGGAATCAGCCCACAACTACACGGGAGGATCTTGTCAATGATCTCAAGGCAGCTGGGACCATAGTCACTAAAAAAACAATTGGTAACACTACGCCGTGAAGGACTGAAATCCTGCAGCGCCCGCAAGGTCCCCCTGCTCAAGAAAGCACATACATGCCCGTCTGAAGTTTGCCAATGAACATTTGAATGATTCAGAGGACAACTGGGTGAAAGTGTTGTGGTCAGATGAGACCAAAATGGAGCTCTTTGGCATCAACTTAACTCGCCGTGTTTGGAGGAGGAGGAATGCTGCCTATGACCCCAAGAACACCATCCCCACCGTCAAGCATGGAGGTGGAAACATGCTTTGGGGGTGTTTTTCTGCTAAGGGGACAAGGACTTCACCGCATCAAAGGGACGATGGACGGGGCCATGTACCGTCAAATCTTGGGTGAGAACCTCCTTCCCTCAGAAAGGGCATTGAAAATGGGTCGTGGATGGGTATTCCAGCATGACAATGACCCAAAACACACGGCCAAGGCAACAAAGGAGTGGCTCAAGAAGAAGCACATTAAGGTCCTGGAGTGGCCTAGCCAGTCTCCAGACCTTAATCCCATAGAAAATCTGTGGAGGGAGCTGAAGGTTCGAGTTGCCAAACGTCAGCCTGGAAACCTTAATGACTTGGAGAAGGAGTGGGACAAAATCCCTCCTGAGATGTGTGCAAACCTGGTGGGCAATTACAAGAAACGTCTGACCTCTGTGATTGCCAACAAGGGTTTTGCCACCAAGTACTAAGTCATGTTTTGCAGAGAGGTCAAATACTTATTTCCCTCATGAAAATGCAAATCAATTTAACATTTTTGACATGCTTTTTTCTGGATTTTTTTGTTATTCTGTCTCTCACTGTTCAAATAAACCTACCATTAAAATTAAAGACTGATCATTTTTTTTGTCAGTGGGCAAACGTACAAAATCAGCAGGAGATCAAATACTTTTTTCCCTCACTGTACAGTGATTTCAAGCCTGTACCTCGTTATGTTTACACGCTTTTAATGGTGCTCATTCCATCAATGCTCGTGTCAATAGATATTTGATATTTACAAAACAATGAAGCCCCTTTACTTAAGGAAGAGCCAGAGAATATTGACTGAAGAAGAGGAATTGCCTGAAACGTTACTTTTTGTATTCTCAGGGCAGTTCCACTAATTAGAAAACCTCAGTCAAAACGTCTAAAATACGTACAATGTCAATTTGAATGTACTGTAATTATAGTTTGAGGGGAAACAGTGTCTCATTTACAGAGTCAATCGATGGTTTTCATACCACCATTCCAGCGTGGATGAAGAAGTCGTGTCGTCTGAGTGGGTCTTTCCACTGCGGCGTCCCATGGGCATGTCTCCCTCATTAACAACGGTGGGCAAATGGTTTATCTCTGAACTACGTCCCTAGTTGGTTGACATACAATTCCCACGTAAACAAAAACAAATTGTAATGATTAAACTGACGGTCGCAAAATATTTTCTCAAGGCACCTGGTGTTCTTCATTGCACGCATGCCTGTAAGGCCCCCTGCCAACTATTTCCCTGGCCCTCGACTGCAACCCATGATCAGCCTCTGTCCTTTGAGTACGGGCACGGTGCACAAACATCCGTGCAAAGGTCACGACAACAACTAGACACATTCCTCAATAACACTGGCCTAAGAGGACATCTAAATACCCTGCAATGTATATTTGCAGGGGCAGTGAAAAAGGACAACTACCCAGGCCGCCCGTGTGGCTCAGCGCTAGGCTGAGTAATTGGCTGGCAACCAAAAGGTTGTGAGTTAAAATCCTAGTTGGGGGGGGGGGGGTCTGACTTAGACGCGGGGTTGATAAAATGTGTACGACCTTTGTGGGGAATTGAACAGTGGTTGTCCTTTGGATAGACTTACCCCCCATCATAGTAACGTGGAATTTTCACCACTGGCTCCACCGATATAATTTATTCTTAAGGCCAGTGTTTTGTTTGTATCACCACTTTTTTTTATCTGTGGCACCACTGCCAACGCAGCAGCATCATAATTGTTTAAGTTCACCTGTGTAAGGGGTTGTACTGTACGTGTGTGTATGTCGGGGGAGCGGTGGTGTAGTGGTTAGTGCACTTCGCTCACAGCCAGCATCAGTGGGGAATACATAAATTGGTCCTGGACCTCACCTAGGTCGATTCAGCCTGAAATGAGTGCTTGGTGCGATGGGCAAACATCAGCACTGGGGAGACGAAGGCGGCCGGGCGTGGTGTTGGCCACACGTTGCACAACGCAACAACATCCGTGTGTAACACTGGCCTGACATATATAAGCAGGCGACGTTTCGGACAATGGCCCTTCTTAGTGGCACAATGCCAAGAGGGGAATGGACACGAACGAGAGCCCCCCCGCCCTCACCAGCTGTCTGTATCCGACGTTTTATGCGGCGTGGGGGGTTGTGGAGTGGGGGGGGGTTGTGGAGTGGGGGGGTTGTGGAGTGGGGGGGGGGTTGTGGAGCGGGGGGGTTGTGGAGTGGGGGGGGGGGTTGTGGAGTGGGGGGGTTGTGGAGTGGAGGGGGGGTTGCGGAGTGGGGGGGGGGGTTGGGGGGGGTTGTGGAGTGGGGGGGTTATGGAGTGGGGGGGGGTTGTGGAGTGGGGGGGGTGTGGAGTGGGGGGGGTGTGGAGGGGGGGGTTTGGAGTGGGGGGGGGTTGTGGAGTGGGGGGGGAGTGGGGTGGGGGGCATCACAACCACCTTTACAGATTGGCCCGGTCTGCACACGAGTGAGTGAGCGAGTAAACCCACAACACAAATCGCCGGCTCAGCAACAGCAGCAGCACCCACGAGGTCAGCGCCGACCCCGATTGGTCGAGATCCCCCTCGTGCCCATTTCCTGCAACTCACCCGATTGGTTGTTGGTGGTGGTAGTAGTGGGATGTGGTTGGTGGTGGTGGTAGTAGTGGGATGTGATTGGTGGTGGTGGTCTATAAGAGTCACATTCACAGGGAGGAGCTTCCTCAAACTGCCGCATAGGCCGCGAGAAGCGTCGCCACCACCACTCCACCCACCAGAACCACCACACTCCAGCCCTAGACACCACCACTACCAACTCCACACTCCTTCCGCAGCTTCCATCAATCGCCTCTTGCGCATTCTCCGGAGATGGCCGACCGAGACGTCACGTCGATCGACATGAAGGACGTGGAGCTGCGAGAGGAGGAGCAGCAGCAGGAGCAGCAGGAGGAGGAGGATGATGGCGAAGCTGAGAAAGTGCTCATGAACACGCCGGTCGACGCGAACGGAGCGGCGGCCAAACTCGACGACGACGGCGGCGCCTCGCCCGCGGCTCGCTTCACGGGCCTCACCAAAGAGGAGCTTCTCAAAATCTCGACGCAGCCCTTCTGGATCCGCACCCGCCTCGCCCTGCTCGTGCTCTTCTGGCTGGGCTGGCTCGCCATGCTCGCCGGCGCCGTCGCCATCATCGTGCAGGCTCCGCGGTGCAAGGCCGAGCCGCCGCGCGAGTGGTGGCGGCTGACGGCCGTCTACGACGTCTCCACGGCGGCGTTCGCCGACAATAACGGGGCCGGCAAAGGGGACGTGCGGGGTGAGTGAGCGAGCGTGTGAGTGGGTGAGTGAGTGGGTGAGTGTGTGGTGAGTGTGTGGTGAGTGTGTGGTGAGTGAGTGGTGAGTGTGGCCCCTGGTGTACGGGGTGTGTGGTGAGTGAGTGGTGAGTGTGTGGTGAGTGTGGCCCCTGGTGTACGGGGTGAGTGTGTGGTGAGAGGTGTGAGTGAGTGGTGAGTGTGTGGTGAGTGTGGCCCCTGGTGTACGGGGTGAGTGTGTGGTGAGTGAGAGGTGTGAGTGTGTGGTGAGTAAGTGGTGAGTGTGGCCCCTGGTGTACGGGGTGAGTGTGTGGTGAGTGTGTGGTGAGTGTGTGGTGAGTGTGTGGTGAGTGAGAGGTGAGTGAGAGGTGAGTGGTGAGTGTGTGGTGAGTGGTGAGTGTGGCCCCTGGTGTACGGGGTGAGTGACCGAGCGAGTGCGTCGCCCCGGCATTTTGTCCGCCGGCTTCGTGTTGTTAGTCGAGCGCCAACACCCCAATGGTCGCGACCGACATCACCACCACCACCATCATCATCCTCGTCGACATCACCACCATCATCCTCGTCGACACCACCACCATCACCGTGGTTGGCTGTCGCCGCCGCCGTCATTGTCACGCTGAGAAACCCGGTTTCGGCATCGCAAGCACCTTCATTGATTGCATCATTCATTCATTCGTAACCCAGCACCCCCTCCTCGTGGCCTTCCAACGTGTCCCCCTTCAACATTGTCACATTGCCCTGTTCGTCGTCGTCTAGACAACAATGTAAATTGTCGTAATGAACCATCGTGAACGACGCAGCCCCCGTTGTGTAACAAGAGGAGGGCTGCCCCAGCGCCGTGCTGATCACTTTTCCCCCTCGACTTTGACGCCGCCCAAGATGGTGAAGGGTCGCCTTCCTCCTCCTCTCTCTCCTTCCTCTCCTCCCTTCTCCTCCCTCTCCTCTCTCTCCTTCCTCTCCTCTCTCTCCTCCTTCCTTCTCCTCTCTCCTTCCTCTCCTTCCTCCTCATCCCTCTCCTCTCTCTCCTTCCTCCTCTCTCTCCTCCTCCTCCTCTCTCTCCTTCCTCCCTCTCCTCTCCTTCCTCCCTCTCCTCTCCTTCCTCCTCCCTCTCCTCCCTCTCCTTCCTCCTCCCTCTCCTCTCCTTCTCCTCTCTCTCCCCTCCTCCTCTCTCTCTCCATGCCCCCCGGCCCAGCCCGGCCATCCCGAACGATGTGTTAGGAATTTAATTACGGATTTAATTAGCGCGCACTCTTGAGATGGCTCCTCTGCGCGACAAGTGGACGTTGAGCGAGGTGCGACATCGCGAAATGTGAAATGGAGGGAGGCGGAGGGAGGGAGGAGATGGAGGAGGAGGTAGAGGGTAGATGGAGGAGGTATAAGGGAGATGGAGGAGGTAGAGGAGGAGATGGAGGCTGTGAATAATGGCGCGAGTGGAAGGCGAGAAGATTCCCACCGCATGGCGCGTCTATAAATAATTATTTTATTATTCGCGGGGCAGTGAGACCCAAGGAGAGAGGCGACGACGACGTCGTCGAGATTCGTTCTGTGATGGCGAGGTCACTCGGGCACACACGAGGAGATATGGTGGTGAGGCTGTGGTGAGGCGGTGTGGTGAGGCTGTGGTGAGGCGGCGTGGTGAAGTGGTGAGGCGGCGTGGTGAGGCTGTGTGGTTGGTGGACACTGACGAGGTGTGGTCGTTAACGACGAGGAGGAGGAGGGGGGTATGGTTTGGTGAGGAGCCGGCGTGGCTGTGGTGAGGCGTGTGGTGAGGGGGATGGTGAGGCGGTGTGGTGGTGTGGTGAAGTGGTGAGGCTGTGTGGTAAAGTGGTGAGGCTGTGTGGTGAGGCTTTGTGGTGAAGTGGTGAGGCTGTGTGGTGAGGTGGTGAAGTGGTGAGGCTGTGTGGTGAGGCGTGTGGTGAGAAGTGAAATTTGAGTTTGAGGTTGCGTCATGCATGGACGTGGCGCAGCGTCGCTGACGCCGCAAACGCCGCATTGCTAACACGGCATATTTAAATTTTTATTTAAAGCTTTCGTGACTGCAGTGATTCATATTCTTGGGTTCTTTCGGTAAAGTCACGTAGAAGGGAAACACTGAAATAATAAAAATATATATAAAACAATAAAATTTTCACGTTTCGACTGTTTGTGTTCAACGTGACTTTACCGAAAGAACCAAGAATACGGAATGTTTAATCATTTAATCTGTGCGATTTTCAATTCTATCTAACCCCCTCTTTGCATAGTTGTCAAACCCCATACGATTTATCCCTTATTCGTTACAGGGAAATTGCGTTTTCGGATCCATACGGCGTACAGCCGTTTAAATACGGGCAAAATTAGTTATTTTTAAATTGTCTATTTGTTTGTTTCTCCCTTGTGATGGGACTTTGTAGGATGAACGTTGAGATCTGTAAGGGGCACGGGGGTGACCAATAAGGTCTAGAATGTGTCTGTAATAATAAGCTAGGCACTGATAAGGGGTTGACTGGTTTGTCCCATTGCTTGAATTATTGTTCCAACGGCGTCTCTATGTTCATCACTTTTCTTTGGCAACGCTTTTTAAATAGTGGAAACGAGGCTTGGATAAAGTGAATAGTCACAAAATGTAATAATGTGTATACTGCAGCGTGTCGGCTCTGAATGCATGCAGGGTGGCTGTGTACAACTACACTATTAATATTCAAGACAACGCGTTGGAAACGTGTGTGTGTGCCCCCTTTTTGCCAAGTCACCTTCATGGGGGGTTATTGGACCATAGCACAGTGGAAAGCAGTGATCCTCGTGGCAATAAGTAACTGTTAATCCTGCCAATGCGAGTTTGCTTCCCACCCCCATGATTTACGTGGGTTTCCTCCCATAGCTAAACTCGCACAAAAGTCATCATTGTTGGGACAAACAAAAACCCTCCAGGAAAAAAAGTATTGGGACTTGGTGCTTGATATTTGAACACACTGCAATAAAATCAATTGCTCTTTGGTTCTATTCGGTAAAGTCACGTAAAAAAAACAACATAAAATAAATAAAAATAAAATAATGTTTAAAAAAATTAAAATTTTACGTGACTTTACCGAATATAACCAAAGAGTGTGAATCCTTGCAGTCACGAAAGCTTTAAATCTAGAAAAAAGCCATTGCCTTAGCTCCAACACCCATCCCTCCCCCCCCCCCCCCGCCTTCATCAAACTGCGGTGACGAGCATGGTGAAGTTCAAACAAGCCACATGACCCACACGGCGTGGGGAGGCCCCTCATCCAGCAGTGGATTAACGCAAGGGGCCGTACGTGTACATAACAGATGAGAGTTAAAGTTTATCCACCTCTAATAGCGCCACGAAGCGTTGACGGGTAACCGCCCTCCCCCCGATTCTCCCGTTAGCCTCACGAGCCCCTCGTGAGGATAACGGGGGGCTCGTGAGCCCCTCGTGTTGACCCGTCCTTGCCGGTTACCAGGCGTGCAGAGCCGGCTGGATTACCTCAAGCAGCTCAACGTGAGGGCGATGGTGATGCAGCTGATTCCAGAGGACGCCGCCACGACCCGCCAGGAGGTGAACTTCACAAACGTGGACGTTCGCTACGGCCGGCTGGACGAACTCCAGAAGCTGATGACGGAGGCTCGGAGGAAAGGTGGGTTCTCGTATTTATACTGCACCTCGCTCACAGCGGTACATCTCAGAAACGCGCTATGGCGGGTAACGACCACGACCCCCCACACACTAGCAGCTGTCCCCTGTGAGGCAGAGCGAACGTGTGAAATTGGGCATTGGTCTCCCGGTAGAGGGCGGTGTCGTTACATTGGATTCCCAATTAAGTCCGCCCAGCGCTCGCAACTACAGCCATTACCTCGTTAATCGCGATGGATATACGTTCCGGAGATGCTCGTCAATAGCACATTCTGCGGATATTGGCCTACTAATATCGTACAAACAGCGTCTGCAGATGCTTCTAAAGCTTCAAGAAGTTATATCATCTTTGCCTCATCACTCTCTCTCTCATCACTATACATCTCATCACTATTCGTCACTTTCTCTGTCATCACTTAGTCTCATCACCGTCTTTCTCTCCGTCCCTCTCGAGGCAGTCGTGCAGAGTTCCAGACGCGATTAGCGGATAGTCAAAACCGCGGATAGCAAGTTCGTGACTAATGAGGGGACACTGTATCCAAGTTCCATCAGCCCCACGTTCCAGACACAGGGGCGTGGGCTGACCGTTGTGGTTTTCCGTCTGATCGTCTAGACATCAAGATCATACTCGACATGTTCCCTGCCAAGTGGTTCAGCAACGGCACGAGTGGCACCACGAAGATGCGCGAAGAGATGAAGGTGAGGCAGGCTCAGGGTGGTCGACCGTGGCCCTGGCATCGCGTATTGGTGCGGTTGTTGCATGGTGCACTTGCCCCAACGGTGCGGTTGCCTCATGACTGTGCCCGTTTGTCGATTTGACAGAAAGCCTTGAAGTTCTGGATGGAGCAAGGCATCGCGGGATTCCGCATCGGTGTGGAGGGCCTGGGTGAAAAGGAGGTAATTCCTTGGTCTCCTACCCTTGGCGAGATGCGGTATTTTAGTAAACGTTCGTGTATTCGTGAAAAGTTCAGCGTTTATTTTCGCATCGCCGAGGAGACGGTGTTCAGGAAAAGCTGTTATCCAACATCCATGGGGAATGAAGGGTGCCAGTTCATCAAAGATGCCGATTATCCGAGTTATACTTACGGTTCACCAAATTTCATAACTTTTCAAGAAAGACACAAAGCTTCCATTTTAACGTTGCTATACTCAATAATTTAATCTCTTTACAGAGGTACTCACCAGTCTGTTGTCTCGAGCCCTCTAAGTTTATTCTAGTGGGGCACTTTAGAGTGCCGTATACAAAGTTACGATACAGCACAATGCGATCACAATGGCGGACGTTTACAATTGAGACTACCACGGGCGACGCCATCGGCAGCATTCTGAAGCTTTCGTAGCACGCGCCAAGAAGCTGGATGGCTATCGGATATTTTTTCTAGATGCGTGAAGATTTGTATTTCCATTCGACAATATGCCGGTTAACAGTGCATTCTGCATAGTCAAGTACCAGTTAACGGAGCTTTTCCTGTAGTTCTAATCTCCCCTGGCAGCCCCGCCACCCACTGCGCGATGCACCTGTTACCAATTTACCTGGGGTCATTTTCTTTGCAGGAGGTCAACGATCTCTTTGAGGAGTGGCACAACGTGACGTCCACCTACAGCACCGAGGACAAGGAGCGTCGGTGAGTGAGGACAACAGCAAAGGCGCCGTCGCCGCTCGGTCGTGCATTTTTGATGCGTTGTGACCCTTCTAAGCCGGTGTGCTTTGATTGGTGACGCCGGTGTTCAATTTGGTCAGAATTTGTTTAGTATTAGACTCGTAGAGGACATAATCTTGGTTCCTTCGGGGAAGTCACGTAGATAAAAAAAAAGAAAACTAAAGTTAAAATAAAAGCGCGTGGGGAGGGACAAGCTGTGGAATGTTTGTCAAAGTCTTAAGTCTGTGAGGGATTTCGTTAATTTACCACTGGTTATTCGGCATTTATTTAAATGACTGCATTGAATCTGCGGACCAAGGCTCCACCGTTTGTCCTTGACCAGTCTAAAAAACGTTGACTAAATCAACACCGCTTGGTGTAGCTTCATTATTCGCTTGTCGCTAACGTAAAAATAGCAGTAGCTGCCAGAGTGACTCTGAAGGACGTGCGTGTGTGGCTGTGCAGGGTGCTCATCGCCGACGCTCGGCAGGATTCGGATCTGGCGGAGTATCTGGTGGAGAACGGAAATGCTGACCTGCCCGTTGTCTATGACCTACGCAAGTTGTCTGCCAACTCCACGGAAACAGATGTCCACAATCTGGTCAAGTCCCTCATCATGAAGGCAGCCAACAAGTCCATTGGATTGGCGGTCAGTACCACCGTGGCTGCAGTGCCGCTGGCATTTGTGCGTTGCGCACACCGCACCGTGCGAATTGTACGAATCTAAAGTGCACAATCAGATTGACATCTCTCGACGCGCTTGAGTTGCATTACAGTTGAAGCTGCGATTGTTACGCAGCAGGGAGGGGTTGGGGAGAGGATTACATTGATGGGGTGTCCGTACATTTTGCAGATTGGAGGTCGCAACGGCTACTTGGCCACCAAGAATCCGGGATTGAACCGGGCCCTCGGTGTCCTGCTGCTTACCCTACCGGGCACGCCGTTCATCTACTACGGCGACGAGATCGGCTTGAGAGACTTCGAGGTAGGTCCCCCGTTGCTCCCACCACACGGGCTAAATTGCTGCGGCCGCACCTGTGCTTTCACTGCTTGTGGTTGGACTTTCACCCCGAGTATTTCGCGAGCGTCGCAGTAATTGTAGTTGTATGGTCCGATCTTATCAGGGTGCGGAAATCCCAATGCCGTGGAACGACTCCAGTGGAATCGTCAACGTGAAGGTATGGACGGCACGAAACGCACGCAAACAACACCGAGTTTAAATTTATTACAAAAAACAAACAATATTGGGTTCTCTATAATATGATACAGGGTCTGTATGGTTCTTTAATACATGACCATGTCCCATCTTGTCACCACCTCCCCTTTTCACCCCTCACCGAATTCGTGTGCGTGCAGAGCCAGGAGACTCACAAGCACAACTCGACGTTGCTTCTCTACCGCAATCTCGCAAAGCTCAAGTGGTCCGAGTCGGCGGCCAAGTTTGGCGACTTCAATTTTACATTGATCGAGGGCGGCGTGTTCGCGTTCCAACTGGTGTGGGACCAGAGTCCTCGCCTCATTATCCTCTTCAACCTCGGGTCCACGCAGCAAACGCTGGACCTGGTGAAGGAGCACAAGCTCCCGCCGACGGCCAGCGTGGTGGGCAGCTCGACGCTCCACCGTTTGGGCGACGTGGACCTCTCCAAGCTACAGCTGGAGCCAATGGAGGCACTGGTGCTCAAGTACAACTACGTGGCCTAAAGTCGAGCATGGCCACGGTGTGAAGGGGGCTCTCGCCCCCAGTTAGCGGAGCCACTTGGCAGGCGAATGAAAGGTGGTGGTGGTGTAGTTGCACTGGTATGGGAACAAATACATTTCTTGTTGTGTTTGTTAGCAGTCCAGTTTGGATCTCGCTGTATTCCATTGCGACAAGATTTTACCATTTTGCTTGAACCTCGATTGCTTGAGAAAATAAATGTTACAAAGCCTAACCACGGTCCTCATTTTGTCAGTGTTTAATGGAGTAGCCGTGCATTACCGGCCCAATGTTTTCAGTCTGTAGTTGGGTGAAATTCAATTCGGTTACTTCAAGAAGCTCCCAGCACGAGATTTTAAACGTTGGACATTGTGCGGAACAAAAGTGCACCTCCGATTAGCACGGTTGGATATGTACTGTGTGAAAAAATTTCAACATACAGCAGTGAAAACCTATGCAGGGGTAATACTTGCATCTCCACATAAATTGGCATTGTTTCTGCGATGTTGGCAGTGCCACGCAGGCATGGTGGGAGTACTCGCTTGCGTAACCTGTACCTTGTTCCACCACGCGTCGGCTGTGCGTGTTTTACGTTTCTGCTATCAAGGCGAGAGCTGGTTAATCAGTCGGGGAGTCCAAGGGCCTGCCACAGGAAGGTGTACTGTTGGGCAACCTGCAACGAAGACGGTGGTAAAGACAGGAACATTGTTCATTTTGGCTGAATCAGTTTTTTTTAAAAGGCCAAGCTAATCACTACGGCGCCGCACATTTTACTCGCCGGGAACTGAACTGTAAGCAGATGAGTAAAAAAAACACGAAGTGCGCGTGTGTGACCATCTGTAGAAAATGTGCAGTCTCACTGCAAAAACAGGTTAATGGACGAAACTAAAGCGCAAACTGCTTTAGGTGTGTGACGACGCTTCACTGCGCTTTAGGGATGTGCCATCGTACGTGAGGTCAATACTGCATGCCTGCGTGCGAGGTGGTCAGATGTGTTAACATCCATCAACATATTTGCACCCATGCACAAACACCGCACTGGATAGTGTGTGGCCATAGGTTAACCGGTCGAACGGCGATCCGTGAAAATGCGCTTTTAACGCCGCTTAAAATAACCGTTTTGACGGTGCAGGGTCGCGCGTATCGACGTCGCTTGAGAAAACGCGTTCTCACCTCGCGAACGTGGCCGTCCAGGTCGCCTGGGCCACAGTGGCTCCCTCCCTCGTGCACGCTGACCACCAGCGGCGGCTCGGTGGCGGCCTCTGTGGAGTCGCAAATCCCCGTTTACGGAGTCGTTACAACTAAAACCATAAACCATGTTTTATTTTACCAGGTGTAAGACCCACCGGGCTATATATATTAGCTCTTTTTCAGAAGTGATCTGGCTAGCAGCAGCCAGATACTCGATATGCACGTTTCGAAATGGAGGGAAAAACCTAAGGGCCCGGAGAAAAATCCACACGGCCACGGCAAGAACGTCCAAACTCCAAATATGAGCGTAGGGATTGAACTTACTAACCTGCATACCAGGCGAGGTAGTTAACATCTCGCCACAGTGCACAACCTGCCGCTCCCCTGGAGCGAAGCGATGGACACCACCCGTGCCAAACGACACGTGGCCAGAACCTGACGGCGACCCCGGCGGTCGCCGCTCGGGCAAGAGGCTCGCGGTTTGAATCCAGCAGCCGCCCTGGTTAATACTGTACCAACGGTAAAACTGTAACTAAAAATAACGCGAGTGTTTCCCGGTGCACGTTAGCGATCCCGTGACTTCATTCGCAAGAGTAGGCGATAGTGCACAGGCGTCACGGGCCAAAGTTGAAAAATGAGCTGCAAGTTACTTCAATTGTGATTCTACGCAGCAATCATCGGGTGGCATACTTCAAAACCTCCAAGAGCTGTGGAACACCCCCCCCCCCCCCAACCCGCCCAGCAGAGTGACTCCTCGAGTTGAGAGGGCGCCCTGCAAAAGCCTGATCACCCACATTCTGACTGGCCCCCAAAGTAGGCTACTGATTAAGTGGATGGAAAAAAAAAGTTGCCTATTAAGTCCAAAGCGAGACCACCTATTTGAACAAAAGCTCCCAACTGGATCGTGCAGCGTCCTGATGGACGCGAACAAGGATTTCTATTTTAAATAGAGAACAGGCCGAGCAAAGAAGCCGTCGCTCTGTGGAAGGAAAACGAGAGACGGCTCCTTTCACCATCCTCCCCTGTTCGCTGAGCGCCCTAGCTACGGACCGGGCTTACACCAACCCCGCCTGAATAAAACTACACCACCACTTTCAATTTAAAGATTTCGCGACTGCAGGGATTCATCTTCTTGGTTCTTTCGGTGAAGTAACGTAGAAGGGAAATAATAAAATAATACATGCTAATTCCTCACATTAACATGCTAATCTCCCAGTTACATGCTAATTTCTGACTTTAACATCCTGCTAATCTCACATCAACACAGCTACTTCAATGCTAAATTCTTCTGTTGATATGTAAACTTTGTCAAGGCGCTCTGCTCCTCCCACCCAGCTTAAAAGACGCTGCCAAGCTTAGCAGTGTTCATTGGAGCGCTGTCTTTCCGACAGCTCCGTTTCTTCACCTGAGGACGGCTGCTTGTGTTGTGGCCGAAACGTCGTGATAATTTTATTGTTTTATTTTTATTATTTCCCTTCTACGTGACTTTACCAAAATAACAAAGAAGATAAACCACCACTTTTAATAACCCCATTCATCATCTACAACACACTCATCTTCATGTTCGATTTTATAAACTTCTGTACAGTGCTTTGGGAAAGGCACCATATATACATTTCGATAAGAAAATGAAATCGCGAGGTGATATGTATTGAGGTTTTTTTTTCTTGCTATATTCTATAGAATTGAAAGAATATTCCGGTGAAATAATGACATTGGAAGGAGCACGCATTGAAAAGTATGAGCAATATTAAATAAATCGTGGTCAGTCTTCGGTATTTGTTAGTCCCACCTCTTCAGTGTCACTATTATTACTCAACGGTTTCCGGACTTCCGCAATTTCAGCTCGCCTCCATCTTCATTCTGTTGCACGGAAAATCCCGTGTGGCCACTCACCGAGCTAGTTTAGGTGACCACTGGCGCTGCAGCAGCCACTAACAACAACAGAGCTATTGTTGGGGTTGACAGCAGCCCAGCCAGCAGCCAGCCAGGAGACTCGAGGCATAGCTTAAGGGTTACAGTGGAATGCAGCGTGGAGCGAGGCATTTTTCAGTCCACTGCTCAAATCTCCGGCCTTGCCCCCAACCGAAATCCCACAAATGATCACAATCCGCGGCGATAACAAGGGGATTCTCCACTCTTTATTATCTGCACCCATTTCATTCGCATTGTTTCTCAGATTGTCTCTTTCACCTGTACTTTTATACGCTCCACGAACCCGATCGGAACTCCTACTCGGCCCTCGCAACACACGATCGGATGCACGTGCAGCAAAAGAAAATTCTGATCGATAATACGTGGTTAAACTTCATGCCCCATGGTGTAAAGTGCAGTCTCCGACCATTATCCACTATCTCTGATGATAAATTCTATTTCTCTTGGCGCCTCTCTGCGCTGTAACGAAGGGCCGTTGCCAGAAACGTCGCCTGTTATCAATTTCCTTTTGCCTTTTGAAGCCGCACGGCATTGTCGAGAGACGTGCTGAATCTTCGTAAAAACTACTCGGGACCTCCGGAGTAACGCACTGGAGTTTCAATAAGGGGAAACCAAACCCAAGCGTGATTCCATGGCCCACGCCAATGCACGTTGAACCTCGGGCAGCCGTTATTCTGCAGCGAGTGGGGCCTTCCGGCTCTCCGTTTTAACACAGCGACTCCAGTCGCAATGCCCATGGCAAGACACGGGACACCGTCGCTCACCCTGCCAACACCAACAAGCCACGCATAAGGTGGGGGGGGGGGGGGGACCAGGCTCCTCCACCCATGGTGTCGAAACATTAATTTGTTACAAATCTTTCCCGTTCTGGTGACGTACGTTCACGTCGACGGCACGGAATCGATTTTGGACGGCATCGGAAGCAAGAGGTTCACGCGGGATGACGTGTGGCACAGTTTGGCGCCAGCTATCGTAGGGTGCGGTTGTGTCGCTACGGTTCTCTGCGGTGAGTACAAATGTTTTTAAAAACAGCGGCGCTAGTACACCTTCATAAATAAAATTAACGCTGAGCCATTTGCAACTTGCAGACGTCTCAGGACGGGGAAAGGGTTAAAAGCTATTTTGCTTTCAGAAAATAATTAAATAGCACGTTCTTTAATAATCCACAAAAAACATTACAATATTGTGGATTTGCTCTCCAACACACCGGTGTGCTGTACTAGTAACGAATTGGCATGTTTTGTTTACGTGGCAAACCTTACGAATTGGCTGTGTAGGGTTGTGGCGGGTTAAACGACACATTTATATTTACGCGATCTAACCAAAAAAACCTATATTATGGATGATATTGGTTGTGAAAGCCTACGTGTTAAACAGCACATACTTTACTTGGAATACAAAAAGAGCTAAAGACGAACCCATCACGTAAAGCAGAAGGCAAACATGCCACAATAACCAGCATTCCCAGACATCTACTTAACTCGAATAATTTACTAAGAGTCCACGAGTAGGCCTTGAAGCCCTCTGGGTAATCAGCCACGCGCCACCTGGTGGACAGGTAAGGGGGTGTGTGGAGCGTGGATGGATAGGTACAGTTTGGGATTTCAGATTGAAAACATTCAGGAATTTTTAAGGAAAAAGTTCAGATATTTTTTTCTGGCCGGTTCTTTGGGTCGATTCTCAGTTGGCGGTGCGCCGCGCGCCGTGGTTCCCGAGCGGCCCCCGCCCCCTCCCCCCCCCCGTCGCGTTTCCGCCAAACCTCACCGGCGCCGGCGAGGGGCGGCCGCGACGCACGGTACTCCGCCATCGCCTGGCGCAGGCGCGAGACGTAACGCAGCACCCCGGCCGCCGGCACCAAGCGGTCCCCAAGCGAGCAGCTGATGTACATGGCCGGGTACGCCTGCATGGGGCACACACAGGCAGGGCATGGGGCACACAAAGGCAAAGATCCACCACCACCCCCCCCCCCCCCGTGTTGACTTTAACAGGGCTGCTCGGGCAAGTGGTGTTAGCGAGCGCCTATGAACGCCGGCACACGGGGAGGGGGGGGGGGTTGGGGTTTGGCGGCCAGCACCACGCCCGGCCGCCTTTGTCTGCCCAGGTAAGATA